ATGTGTCTCATTATAAGTGGCACTTCAACAAATTAGAGGCAATACATGTTTGAAATGATATGCAAGATGCAACCAATATTACACTGTCAACTTAAAGGTGTCTCATCAGAAGTGATTGATGAGGGATACACAAGAAAAGTAGTTTGATTAAGAACATGGTTAATAGAAAGATGTAATATGTACCAAAAATAGGAACACATGTCATATTCACAGTTATAATGTGTTAACTAAGCAGATGCAATTTACCCTAATTAGAAGCATTACAAGGTAGACACCACATGCAACAAGCAACCACATATCACACTGTCAAGTAAGAGCAAGCACCTGCGATGGTGGTGTGGGGGAATTGCGTCATCAACTAGAGAGCTATGTTGACTATCTTCATTTAGCCTTGCTATTTCTTGAGAATCATGTGGGGAGGATGACACTACACTCTTTAAACGAGTAGCGCGTCTCACAGTAACCCACTGGGGTGACTGTCTCATCATAAGTGATTGATGAGGGATACAAAAGAGCATTAGTTTGATGTATGAACATGGTTGATAGACATATGTAGTATGTATAAAAAATAGGAAGGCATGTCATTATCAAAGGTATAATGTGTAAAGTAAGCTAATGCAATTTAACCAAATTGGAAGCAATGCGAGCTAAACACCATATGCAACATGCAACCACATTTGACAGGGCGAAGTTAAAGCAAGCAACTGGGATGGTTGTGTGTGGAAATTGAGATCATCAGCTGCAGAGCTACGTTTACTATCTCCATCTGCTCGCACTGCACCCTTTAGAGTGCTGGGACGCTTAGTGCTTATCTTCGAATTACACTGGAGCGACTTGTGTCTTTTCTTTTTTGTATTCATCAACACTGCATTAGTCTAAAATACCCATGCATAAAAAAACAATAGTGTGTGTATGGGTGAAATGTGTGCACAAGTAGTACAGTGTAAAGGTAGCAGATAGCAGGTCGGTGAGAAATAAATGACGGGAGACATATGATAGATCTACAACATGCATGGCACACAAAATTACTAGATTCTAGGATTTTGAAATATGAGCACAGGGATGGCTGGGAAATGCAGATGCTCCTCCAGCACACCACAAGGTGTGGTCCTATGAAAATAACAGTCAACTGAAAACAAATAGGTCAGTCCAGTTTTTCTGCACCGTCCGATGCAAAAAGAACGGGCAGATCGCCTTCATCTACCTCCAGCCAGCCAGTGTTACGATCTTCCTCAAAACGCCAGCGACCACTGGCCCAGTCCCTTGCCTCTGCCCTCCCCTCGACCTCACCGCACCGCCGTGCTTGGCACCAACCCCGGCCATCCCTTCAAGCCCCGCCGACCTCCAGATCAGGCGCAAGCAGCTCCTGCACCCACACCCCTATAATATACACCGATGCGCCGCTTTCTCGGCAAATAGGCACACTAGGTGCTCCGCGCACCTAAGCAGGTGCTGCTTCTTTTGATTGTGATTCGACTGACCCTGAATTGAAATCCAGGCAGGCTACTGACCTCTAGCAAAGGTGAAATAGTAAATGCACTAGAAGAAATATGTCAACTTGCAACCATCACTATTGGTCACTTAAAGGTCATTGTTTTTCATTTGCGACCTTTTAGTGACCAAAAACAGAAGGTCAAAAGCTGGCGGTCATAAACTGAAATTAACGACCTTCTCTGTGAGAAGTTCGTGGAATTCCACGACCAAAACAAAAGGTCGTTGATTCTATGACCTTCTATTTTGGTCGCTAGCTCTCTCCCCAGGCCATGTCGGATCCGACATGGCAATCTGACGTGGCAAAATTGCGACTAATTGAAAAGGTCGTTGATAAGAATCGGCCCGGTCCAGTTTGGTGTTTTAGATGGGCCGGGCCCAACAATTCAGCCTTTTTATATATTTTTTCTTATTAATTTTGCTCAGCTATATGGGCAAAGCCCTACAATTCAGCCTTTTCATTTTCTGGGCCTAGGCCATTTCACAGTCCGTTTCATTAAGCCTTTTGTTACTAGTTTTTCATAAATGCACAATATTCCAGCCCACTATTGTTTGGACCATAGCCTTTTTAGAGCCCAAATATTATTCGACCCAATAGAACATTCAATCCTTTTCATTCGCATATTTTAATTTTACACATTTCAATAGCAAACAATCAATAATTCTATCAATTAAATGACCAAATCCAGAAATCTCTCAATGAAACTCACAACAGCACATACATGTTTGCATGATCCAACAAGTGTACATACAATCAAAAACAAATACACATGCACCAAAACATGGTGGCAACATCAACTAATACTATGGTGCACATCTCTAAGCTTCTTCTAGTCTTCGGTAAGAGCAGCAGCCACCTCGACGACATTAGATCATGATCTACATAAATTACTAGTGAGATACAGTGGAAGTTAAATGATTGACAATAAAATATATCCATTCAAGAGAATAAAAGTTATACATAAATGCCCAAATGCCTTAGTTCAGTAAACAATAAGCATGGCATAGCAAAACTTCTAACCTGATGATGTTCTACTAAGATATTCAAGTTCAGAAAACTTATAGCACCAACTGTAAATCACTACCGAGTACATAAAGGTCTATTTTAACTTCAATTTTATTAAGTGCCGGACATCTCAACGAAAGCACTATAATCATACATGACACCTTGTTGTGATGTAACAACATGCTATAACTGACTGCTTCCGGAACAAAGTGTGGATTATATAGAAGAGAAGAGATATGTGTCCCTTGGAAGCACATCAAATGCAAAAATATCTAGACTAGTTAAATAATAATTGTATCCTTCTCTACAAGCACATGAGTAGTTAATAAGTACAAATCCTATGATGTATGGCAGGCTTGCAAGATGGAGATGCATACATGACTAAACACTAACATATTATGGTATGACCAGGGCGAGAAAATCAACAACTCAGTGGACCCAACATTGAAATCAGACATGATATCCTAAAATAGCAAGAAACGGGAAAAGTAGGCTCATACATCAAGACCACATCACAACCATGGTCCAGGCTCATACCATAGTATAGCTGGAAAAAAACCCAACTTCAAGGTGCAGGCTCTCTTGCGCCGATCGTGACCATCCAGCTGATCATACAACTTCGTGTACAAGTCACCCGCGCCAAAAAAACACCCAGCCGCCACAGGCCGTTGTTAGTCAGCAGCTAACACAACATAATTAACAGCCAGCTAAAGCTTAATAAGATCTTTTCATAGTTGGCATGAATCAATACAGGAATCTACAATGTTGGACAAGGTGATAAAGAAAAACAAAAATAGTGGAGTTGGAAACATATGCAACATAATGATAAAACAAAACAATGGATTTATTGTGGCATCCAAGCAACACACAAGATATGTGATCCCTCATCCAAAAATATACGTAATAATAGTTTCCAAGTACTTGTAGCTAGAGCAAGTATGCAGCAGAAGCGACTGCATTACTCTTGATTGCTATCTTTAAAGACAAAGTGCACCTACTATATACAATACTTTAATACAACAAAAGGCTAGCACTAGAAATAACATCTTGCTTGCTCTGGCCATGGAATATTATACGCCGGACAAGAAATACACATCACATTTTCTGGACAGAGAAAGAGACTAGTATCTTAGCACAAGTAACTGCAAACTGACAAAAAGGCTTAGGGCAGAACTATCAAAGTGTTTTATTAACCTCTAGGTTAAAACAACCACATTTTTATTGTCACTTGTTAGTCGGAAAATCTAGCTATCTCTCCTGTGTAAATATGTACATGTTGGCATTAATTGAAAAACATGGGTATGAACAAGCATGCACTGCTGGACAATAATGAATGAGAACAATCAGGTACTGGTAGGGGTATATGGCTGCACCATCAGTCAATGTAGGACACTGCCAGGAGCATAAATGCAGTAGCAACCCTTCTGACATTTGAGAGCACTCTCACTGTGCTATAATTAACTGCATTTTCATTTTCAACAACACTTATGGAGCACTTAGTTCTAAATAGCAGTCATAAAACTAGGGAGACCCATCTATGTGAGATTTGGCAAACCAGAAACACAAATAGAGCATCAATCAACTTCAGGTTTACAGTGAATTACAAAGGTACTATACATTGTAACTGAAACACATTGCAACATTCAAATTCAAACATACACATGGAACATTTGACCCGCTACCTCTAAAGAAAGCATACACTTCAGGCAAGGGATCCCTCCAGCAGATTTGAAGAGCTAAAAAACAAGTCAAAACATGTACAACGACCTCAGGATTAAGCGGGTGAGAGCTTGCAACATCCATGAATCGCATCAGTTGAGCTCTAGAAAAAGAAACAACAGATGGAGGGGAGGCATATACACTGATGAACCATGCATGAAATGAATTCCACACACTCACAAGCAAAACCTATGCAAGGTGAAGCGATCATCATCTAAATAGTGTCAACATACATGCACTTTCTAAATTGCAAATCTCTATTTTGACCGTCCAATAGTCAGACATGACAACAACATGGCACACAAACAACATCATATATGAGACAAACTACTAGAGGATACACATGTACACCGAACAACACCTATCAATGCTCAGCAACTGCACATTGATACACAGAGTGAAAAAAAGATGTAAATCACCTCCACAAACACCAGCACCTTGAGAAGGAATTGTGCCAAAACACGTATTTAATCATGCCTAAAATACATCAGATCCACATCGCGCAACAAATTAACATAGGAAGCAGGGGAGTAGGTCGTTGTACCAATCAATCACCTTGATGGAGTTAGGGGAAGAGAAGAAGCAGAGGAGGGAGGTCCATGGTGTCCCTCCCAAGCAGTAGCACGACACATCACACCTTCATATCCCATGGTGACATCCTGGTTCGAAAGAGAGACGAGAAGGGGGTCAAACAGACAGCGGAAGAAGAAAAGACGAGGGGAGGAGAAAGGGATTCATACCTTTGTTGAGCCCTACGGTTGGAGCTACTCGTTCACCATGGCCCATGGCCGGGGGTAGGAATCCTGAGAAGAAGAACACGGACAGACGGAGCTGCTCCATGGCGTCGAGGCAGGGGAGGAAGCGACCATCGTCCATGGCGTCCCGGTGCTCGAGCAAGGACGGCATCCTGGATCTAGGAGGCAGAGATGATGGATTGAGGAAGTTAGGAACGGCTGTGAGGAGGAGATCGAGTAGATGGACGCACCTGAGTCATCGGAGCCACGCCGACCGAAACCCTAGCGACGGGAGCCAGTCGCGGTTGGCGCTGGAGGACGCGCGTGATGGATCTCGACAGGGAACGCCAGCCTCCCAAAGACCCGCCGGTAGAGAGCGCCTACTCGATCTAGAGGGAGGGAGTGGGGGTGGGGGCAGCTGCGCCTGCTCGATCCAGAGGCAGGTAGGTGGGAAGGAGGGATTACTGCTGGATCTGGCCACAAGATGAGCAGATCGAGTCGATCTGGGCGGAGAGGTAAGGGGCAGCCGGCGGTGAGGTTGGGGGAGAGTAGGAGGTCGCCAGTGGGGTTCGCGGGTGAATCATGTTGCGTCGAGCACGGGTCTGGGCGTGGGCTCGATGGTGAGGGTCGTCGACGGTGGGGGTGGGCGACGGTGGGCGGCGGTGGATTCAGATCAAATCAGAGTTAGGGTGAGGAGAGAGGGGCGTCAGAGCATGGGAGAGAAGGGTGCGAGAGGAGGAGTGCGGGACGTGGGTGAGACCGGTGACGTGCGGGCCGTTGGATCCAGCAACATATGACGGTGATTTATCCCCGATCCGTGTGAGAGGCCTCTGGACCAATCAGAACGCAATATACAAGGTGTGATATTTTGACCATTTAAATTGGTCGTAATCGACTAAAAGTAAGGTGCTAAATCATGTTAGTTATTTTATTATGACCTGCAAATTGAAGAAAAACTTCTCATTGTGTCAGCAAATGTGACTGTAGTTTTGAGGAATAATCACAAATTGAAATAAGACAAATATTTTTTTAAAGAGTTATGAGAAATGAGTTGTTTTAAATCATTTATTCATTTCCGAGTGTCCAAAATGAGTTCTTTTATGAAGGACCTATCATATATTTGTTACAAATTTGGACCAAATTAATTTTCTAAAATATTAGGTCGTATTTAATGCACAATTGACCAAATGGTTGAGTGTCAAAAGACTCGATCCACCTCTGGTGAAAAAGACAAATTTCCGCCGATTCAGTTGGAAGAGGGTAAAATTTGAACTGCAGCTGCCTCATAGTTTGCTTTTATTTTTTTCCAAAAATCATTTGTAGGTACATAAGTTTCTATTTAATCAGAGAAACACAAAAAGTTTTCCAAGATTCAACCACTAGCTAGGAAAGGTCATGCCCGCCATTTTGACCGCATTCTGAAACGGGCATAAAAAATTTACCAAAAATTTAGAAAACCTTCGCATTGTGTCGTTATATGTGACCAAGTTTCCAGGAAAAATAATAAACTTGTAATATGGCAATTATTTCAAAAAAGTGTTCTCAGAAATGAGCTATCATGCGTGAAGATTCATGTCTTTGAAGCCAACTGATCAATCTTATGGCCACATTCATGGCATAGTTTGTTCAAATGATCTCATATTGTGCACAAAGGTGCATCTTGGAATTGCAAGCAATGTTGCCTAAGGGAGTTTTTATTTTCTTTTCACGGAAAATTCATTTTCCATTTTCCGAGTGCCCAAAATGAGTTTTTTTTATGAAGGACCTACCATATATTTGTTGCAAAATTGGACCAATTCAACTTTATAAAATACTAGGCCATATTTAATGCACAATTGACAAAATGGTTGGATGTCAAAGTTTTGATCCACCTCTGGTGATAAAGACAAATTCCGGTCGATTCAGTAGGAAGCGGGTCAAATTTGAACTGCAGCTGCCTCATAGTTTGCTCTTTTTTTTCAAAAAATCATTTCTAGGTACATAAGTATCTATTTAATCGGAGAAACATCAAAAGTTTTCCAAGATTCAACCACTAGCTAGGAATGGTCAAGCCCGCCGTTTTGACCGCATTTTGAAACAGGCATAATTTTTTTAAAAAATTCAAAAAATTGGAAAACTTTCGCATTGTGTCATTATATGTTACCAAGTTTCCAGGCAAAATAATAAACTTGCAATACGACAATTATTTAAAAAAGTGTTCTCAGAAATGAGTTATCATGCATGAAGATTCATGGCTTTCAAGCCAAATGATCAATCTTATGGCCACATTCATGGCATAGTTTGTTCAACTGATCTCATATTGTGCACAAGGGTGCATCTTGGAATTCCAAACAATGTTGCCTAAGAGAGTTTTCATTTTCTTTGCATATAAAATTCATTTTCCATTTTCCGAGTGCCCGAACTAAGTTTTCTTGTGAAGGACCTAGCATATATTTGTTGCAAAATTGGACCAAATAAATTTTATAAAATACTAGGCCATATTTAATGAACAATTGACAAAATGGGTGGGTGTCAAAAGTTTTGATCCACCTGTGGTGAAAAAGACAAATTCCTGCCGATTCAGTAGGAAGCGGGTCAAATTTGAACTGCAGCTGCCTCATACTTTGCTCTTTATTTTTTTCCAAAAATTATTTCTAGGTACATAAGTATCTACTTAATCAGAGAAACATCAAATTTTTTCCAAGATTCAACCACTAGCTAGGAACGGTCAAGCCCGTCGTTTTGATAGCATTTTGAAACGAGCATAAAAAATTCAAAAAAACCAAAAAATTGGAAAACCTTCACATTGTGTCATTATATGTGACCAAGTTTCCAGAAAAAATAATAAACTTGTAATAAGGAAATTATTTTTAAAAAGTGTTCTCAAAAATGAGCTATCATGCGTGAAGATTCATCACTTTCAAGCCAAATGATCAATCTTATGGCCACATTCGTGGCATAGTTTGTTCAAATGGTCTCATATTGTGCACAAGGGTGCATCTTGGAATTCCAAACAATGTTTCCTAAGGGAGTTTTATTTTCTTTTCAGGGAAAATACATTTTGCATTTTTCGAGTACCCGAAATGAGTTTTTTGTGTGAAGGAGCTACCATAAATTTGTTGCAAAATTGGACCGAATCAATTTTATAAAATATTAGGCCATATTTAATGCACAATTGACAAAATGGTTGGGTGTAAATTTTGTTGATCCACCTCTGGTGAAAAAGACAAGTTTCCGCCGATTCAATAGGAAATAGGTCAAATTTGAACTATAGCTGCCATATAGTTTGCTCGTTATTTTTTCCAAAAATCATTTCTAGTTACACAAGTATCTATTTAATCGGAAATACATGGTTTGGTGGCGATACATCGATGTTTAGATGGTGGCCGAGGGCCCAACTCTAGAGCGCGTAAGATCGCATGCCTGTCGCGTGGTCACCGCATGACCGTGGCGTTGCCTTGCGTTCTGGGCAGCCTAGGCATGTCTAGTGGATTGGGCACTCCCCAGGTAGGTGCTAGGAAGAAAATTACAACATAAGATTCTCATGACGAGACCGAACTATACTCAAAGATGAATTAGAAGCCAAGTGTTTGATTAGCGGTACGGGAAATACACATGGCCAATGGGCATGAGTTTGGGCCGAGGGTTATCATCTACTAAGAAGAATGTATTCACAAATTTTCATCTCAAAAGAAGGATCGTAGGTGGTATTTCCTTCACAATGCTTCTAGGTGGACAAAAACTATGGAAATTCGCCAAGGAAGATTTGCTGGGCAAATGGAGCTGAAATTTGTCATGAGGCAATGATTTGGACAAGAAAAAGTGCCCAAAAAATTCGAGGGCAATCAAGAATATATAAATAGCACTTCCTACATAATGGGTTGTTGTGAACATAATAGGAAAATGAATATTGTTGAATTATTTTTGAACTAGAGAAGGAAGGATTTTTACATATTTGACAAAGATATGACCCAAAGAATTTATGAGATTTTTTTGGGAATTTTGGGAATGACAGAAATATAGGTTGCTTCACAACCTAGGGCAAAAATTGACACATGGACATGACACATAGGCAAAACTGATGAGGTGGCACCTAGTAATACCAATCCACCATAATTTACAAGGTTACGACCATCTATATTGGTCATGATCAGCTAGAAATAAGGCAGCGGACCAGTGTTGTCTACTTTGTGACCATTTCATGTAAGGAAATTACGACCTTTCTGACCAAAATGGTCGATATAGTGTTGGGTTTGGAGCCCCCCGAATAGCTTTTGACCAATTGGTCTCAAATGGTCATAGATCTATGACCAATTCTTCCAGGGTCACTGATAGAAGGTCACTAGTTGACATATTTCTTGTAGTGATGGGAGGAAACCTTGTGTGATTAGTATCACGAAGAAGATGCAGTACGATGCGCTCAACTAGTTTCTTTCGTGGGATGAATACGGTGTGAGCAGAGACGTAAGATTTGCACGAATAAGGGAAGAGGAGTACCTCTTTCTAATGGCAGTGTTGTGTCCTCCTTCTATTTTCCAACGATCTTCTTGTGGTTCGCTGGAAACGAGAAGTTGTGGAGGACGGTGGGGCCTTGGATGAACCCATGGCCAAGTTGTTGAGTGTGGTGCGGTGGCCGTCTTTCGGCGGCGGGGAACCAGATCTGAGGCGACGAACGACGGCATAGCGGGAACAACTCCGGTGCGATGGACAGTTGCGATAGTGGAGCGGCAGTGGTGAGGCGTAGGACAGCATGGTCGAAGTGGTTCTGGTACGGCGCACGTCAATGTTGATGTCGTAGAGGCAGCTTTGCCTTGGCTTCAGCTACTAAGTCCTTGAGGGCATTGTGGTTGTGGTTGCGTTGGACAACGACATCGGGGTACCGGCTCCGGCGTGATGGAAGAGGGCGGAAGTGTATTGGGCGTGATAGGGTGGAGGATGGAGGAGGCTGGGGTTTAGCGGCTGGTGGAGAGGGCGTTTTGGTGCCCACGGAGTATGAATGGGGAAACAGAGGGAGGGAGAACTAAGGGTGAACAATGTTTCGGTTTGGGACACGCTTGTTTGAAATTTGGGGAAAGTTACAAACTTTGCCCCCATCTAAAATTTCGGACATATTGCAGGTTGGGGGTAGGACAGTAATCTCAGGTGTCCCAAATGGTGGGCGGGATAGATTTCGGTCGAGCGCATGGGTGTTTAGGTGCCCACGGCATATGAATTCTTCTCGGAGGCGGATGAGACTGGCGTCTTGGTGAAAATTTACAAACCTACCCTGGTTTAGACCTTTGGACATCGGGCCGATAGGCTACACGTGCTAGAGTTAGGACAGTAATTTCCTACCACCAAACATTAGTCTCGCGCGGTTTCAGGTGACCAGAGGCATATTTGGCGCTTTGTTCAATATTTGGGAGCAGAAGCATTAACGTTTTCGATTCTCTTGAATTGAACTTTCAGGATTTGTTAAACTTCACAAATCTTTACTCTTGAAAATCCTAAAACTACGATTATTTTGGAA